CTGCCCAGCCCAGCGCCCTTCCCCAGGGGACTAGGGAGCCACGGCTGCTTATCTGAGCTCCAGATAGAACAGGCTGGCCCAGGGCCAGGCCTAGGTGCTCAGAGCCTGAGGAGGGAGACCGGCAGCCGCCGCTTCCTTGGCATCTCAGTTGGGTTTTATCCTGTCTCTCTCAGGTCTGAGGAGGCCTGGGCATTTTGGTTAGGATGATGCTAGTGAGAAGGCCTGGGCCAATTGGCCCTGCCAGTGCTCTCTCCTTGGGGTCCTGCTGCCCTTCCTGCCTTGCTTCCTCTCCACTCTTTCTCAGGCTCACACGTCCCCTGGCCTCCTCCACCAGCTGTGTGCCTTCGACATACACACATGCACACACACACATCAATCGGGCCTGTTGGAGAGAAAGGATGCATGAGGCAAAAGAGAGGACAGGATGGAGCCTCAGCTCTGTCTGCTCTCAAACGGGTTCTCGGAGGCCTGGGACACCCTTCCTCAGCTCAGCCCAGCCCAGGCACAGCCAGGCACAAGTCAGCCCTCCGGCCCAGCACCCTCCTAGAAAGGAAAGAAAGGAAAGGCACTGCTACCACCAGCTGTTGCAGTTAGGCCTGGGTCTGAAATCAATCTTTGAAAACCAAAAGGAGTAGGCATTTCTAGCTGTTTTCTCTCTTGAGGCAGATAACATAATCAGCTCAGTTTGTTTCTCAACAGAGTCCGAAGGGGCCACAGAATCATAAAATATTAGAGTGTGTTAGAGCCTCTTTGCCTTCCTGCCCCAGGGCCTGTCAGTGCAGAGCCAAGATTGGTCCTTGGACTTTCAACATCCAGGACAGCGATTTTCAACTGGTGGCCTCAAGAATTTTTAAAACATGCAATACCTGACTAGTCAGGGGCACTGGCTTCTTTTCCCTTAGACTGTCAAATAAAAATATGGCAAGGGCCCAACACAATAGCCGTCTGGTGGGAGTGAATCAAAATTATACCTATTTTTTGTCAGATTGGCAAAAAATATATGTGTTGGAGTGCCACAGAATTTTAATGATTAGTTTATGTGTGCCATGACATGAAAAATGTTGAAACGGCTGATCTAGGATACGGAGGTTCAGAGGTTAAGTAACTTAGCCAAGATTACACAGCTATTAAATAGCTCAGCCAAGGCTCAAACCCAAGTCTGTCTTAACCACTCTGGGATACTGTACATTTCCATGGAAAGGCTGGAGGGGAACTGGTGTGAAAATCACTCTATAAATGCCTGCCCCGGCCCAGGTGCCAGCTGCTGGGACCTGACCCTCTATCACTATTTCGTGTACCAGGTTCCAAGCAGCTCCTTGTAAAAGAGCTCTGGGAACAGCATTGGCGAACTTACCACTAGGACTTTCACCTTTCTAATAACAGGAGACATTGTAGCTGAGAACCCAGAGACACAATGTTGCTGCCTCCTTGCTCAGGCCTAGGAGGAACCAATTGAACCAACTGTCTGTGGCCAGTTCACTATTCACAAAAAAAGGATCGTAGTGAATTTATGCCACCAAAAAAAAAAAAAAACCCACAAAAAAACAAAAACCCAAAAAAGAAAGGAAGAGAACAGAATTAAGTTAGCATTACAATACAGTATGTCTAAAACAATCAAGCTCTCCACAGATAACATACTGTGCACCTGACTTGTAGTCAATGGACCAACCGAAGCCATAGATAGATATATCTGGACAAATTCTCTAGGGCTACTTCAACATATAGGTAAATGTAAAGTCCTCATTTCTTTAAATGGGTTAACTCTAAATATATAAAACTCAGTAACTCTGAATATAGCTAAGTCTAAAGTCCTCATTTCTTTAAATAGGTTAACTCTAAATATATAAGACTCAGTAGCTCTGAACTGCTCCTAGGGCCACATTGGTGGCAACCATGCAGGCCAGAAAGGACAGGCAACTCAAATAAGTG